CCCAGCCATTCAAACCAGTTAGAAAAGACTTGGTTTATAAAAGCCTTTTTATAGGGCTAGGGTTCAGTTTTTTCAAGGTCCCCTGCCTTTGGATACCCCTTATTTCACTGTTTTCAGTTTCCAGGCAGGCTTGATGCTCAGCTCAAGGCTGTTACCATTACTCATCTGTAAATATAAACCCATCATAAATACGAACACCAGAGAGAAAGTTAGATAAGCTTTTTCTTCTGTGCTCTTTACAGTCTAAGAGCAATTTAACCATTTAGCCTTGGTTACAATTCTATGGATCCAGGATTTTTGAGAGGCTGAAAGATAATAGCTAAGAAAAAACAAACTCCTTGGAAGGAATTTATAGCAACACTACCTTCGAGGACATTTCAACGGATGTTTCCAATAGACCCAGTACTCCTATTCTACACCCTTCTTTAAAATATGTTGAAGTATAGCAAACACTTAGAAAAGTGTATTAAATCCCAAGTGTATAGCTCAATAAGACTTCACAATATGTGACTGTGAAATACCTGTGTAACCAACATTAACTTAGAAAATAAGACACTCTCAGTAACCAGATGCCCCTCTGGGGCAACCACCTTCCTGGCTTTATTAAAGAATAGATTGTTTTTGCCTGGTTTTGAACTTTATATATAGAACTGGAATATAAATGTACTCTGTAATGACTCATTTTATGTGGTAACTTGTTTGGGTGACAGGGCGCCTGGACATTTGATCAAACATTATTTTGCTAGCCTTGGATCGGAGCTACATTATTGGTTCTCCTGGGTCTCCAGCTTGGTGGCAGCCTCCATACTGTGCGAGCCAATTCCATAGGTATATTTATATTTTCTTTTTTTTTTTTTAAAGATTCATTTTTTTTATGCATACAAGAACTGGGGTACAGACCAGAGGTGTAGGTGGTGAGAGGATTCACCAGAGACAGAGTGGGGAACAGAACAGGCAAACCAACTGAAATACCCTGCTGAGGGGAGCAGCAGGCGAGACAGGAGAGGCCCGCTGCGCCACGTGGGCTGCTCCCTGGCTGGCCGGGGATTGAATGCATGCTGCAGTGGCTGCGGACAACCTCACAGGCTGAGTCCCAACCCCTGTACCAACAGGGAGGCCCAGGTATATTTATATTTTCATGGAATTAAAAAATGTTGTTGTAGTGAGTTTACTGAAATAACAAGAGGTGTTTAGTACCACCCATCATACAAAGCCTAAATGCAAATAGCTCCAGCGCTGAGCCATCCAGCACTGGCTCAGCTGCAAAATGAGGTTCTGGCTTTTTCCTTATGGCTGCAGGATGATTGCCACAGCTCTGTCCCATCACAGCCACAATGTCAAAGGAAGGAGGCAGCGATAACTGGGCTAGTAAGAGATATCTCTGATATCTATACAATAGGAGACATTGTATCTCCTGTATCTCCTTTTTAATAGGAGATATATGATGGACTAGTAAATGCAAAATCCCACCTATACCCTGAAAACACAAGGCTAATAGACCTGGAGCAGCCTCCTGAGTCCAAGCTAATAGTTAGAGCTGTGGTCCCTTAAAGGATCGCTTACCTAATCTTGAGGTGATCTAAGAACCAAACCCAACTCACAGTAACAAATTGAATTAAGCTTTATCAAATAATGACTTGTCCCGTCATTCTACATGGAAAGCCCCATTTTGCCTTCACTTTAACACTCCCTCCAACAGTGGGACAGAGAAGGAGGGAGGGAGATAGCTTTGGGAGGGAGCTATCACAAGTACTCTGTGATGACTGTCCACACTGATCATCACTCAATCATTTATTGGAATAAGATTTAAATGCCAGTCAAGGCCTCTCTATTCACCATAAAATGCCTCAAAACCTTACTTTCCCCTCAGTGCAAAACTTGATCCCTTCTTTGGTTTCCACCAGAAACCAACCTGTACCAGCTATTCTGTGAGTTTTAACAGAATTAACTGAAGGTTTTGGAGCAGGGGTGATTCACTGTGTTACAGTACATGGTATCCCATCCCTTTTCTGTTTTGTCTCTTTTGCAGAAGCTCCATAAATTACACTACTGATCTATGGGTAATGATTTGTAAAACATCCTTTGTTATTTGAGAATGCTCCAAGAGGCCTCACTCTTATCCTCAAGGAGCTTGTCAAACTATTTGGGTATAAATAGATAGATAGATAGATAGATAGATAGATAGATAGATAGATAGATAGCACTTTTCCAAAGAGATCTAATGAAATAAAAATTTCCCCATCTTATAACTTCATCAATGATATGAGTTTTTATATGCTCAGTATTACTCCAGATCCAGGGAGAATATGGAGGAATACAGATATGATTTGGTATCTTCTCAGCATTTATAATTCAATTAGAGAGCAATTAATATCCATGAAACAGTTGGGGAATTTGTGTGGTTATGTCTGGGCAGTGGTGGCTGAGACGGGCTAGGTCAGTGTGGCACAGTAGGGGGAGAAGGATCTCCAGGTGGGTTTTGTAGGATAGGCAAGTTTGGGTTTGGCTGAGGTGTGGGAGGAGAGTGGCATCAATGAAGTAATGAATGTGGCAAAGAGCATGCAGAGTCACTCATGTACCAGGAGGATGTGGGGCATCTTCTGAGTGCTGATGAGGAATAAACTTGCCTGGAGTAAAATTATGATGGGCTCTGAAAGTCAGAATGAGATGTGGACCTTGGGACCAGCAATGTGGATAGTCCCTGCAGATTTCTCTGGGTAATAAGGGAGGTGCTGGGAAACCACATGAAGAGGCCAAAGCTGACAGCAGTGACCAGCACACACCAGAGGGGTCCGGGGACTGGCTGTCACGTGGTTGAGGGTGTCAGATGTGTGGATTAGGGGGGACAGTGGGAAGGGAGATGGAAAGACAAATTACTGAGAAAAGGAAGCACTGTTGGACTTAATTGCCAGTGGACTGTAGGAATGAAAGAAAGAGGCACCCCTGAGGAAAGGAGCCCCTTTGAGTGCCCCAATTAGAGTGAGATGGGCTCTGGGGTGGATGAAAGATGCTTTTCAGTCTGCACATTCGTCTAACTCTCCTCAGCCCTCTCCTCCTCTCCAGTTGCCATTTTCCCATCTTCCGTGTTAATTTTTGCCGTACACCTCTACTTTCCACTGTCAGTTTGGCTTCCTGAGGATCTGCTTAGACCAGGGCTCCTAATGGCCCAGTGAATACATAACAAATAAGTTGATCATGAGTCATGATGGGAGGGAAATCCTAAGAATCTAATTTACTAAGAACATTGAATTGTTGGCTCTAAGGAAGGAATCCTAAACCTGGGGACAATGATAGATTTCAAGACATCCATGGATTTAGGAACTTAGATGTTGACTAACATCCAACTGAAATACAGCATCTCCTTCCATTAAATGCTGGCAACACTCCAGAGCAGCATCAGCAGTCCCCATGACTGTCCCCAGCTGAACTCACAGACGTTTTCTGTCACATGGCAGCTGCTTCCACAATCACGAATCGGTTGTCATTTGCACTAGTCACGCTCACCATTTTGATAATTGCATTAGACTTGCTGTTCAAATTTGCCATTGAATATGCTAACAATGAAGCAAATATATTATTCATCACCAATTAAAAATATTTGAATTGTTTCCTTTATGAGTCCATCTGCTTTACTTTTGATCCATATAGAAGAGGTCTATGGACAGATCCTTGGCACAAAGAAGGTTAAGAAGTGCTGTTAAGATCTCATCAATTTGGGCCTAAACTGTGTTCCTTTGCATGGCGTTGCTTGCAATCCACCATAAATATGACTCATGCATCAAAGAACTGACAAACCATATTACTCAATGGGACATGGTTGCCTGGAAACTAACGCCTGATTAGATGGTTTTTCTGTTTGTTTGTTTGTTTTTTTAGGGAAGAAAACATCAGATGCCTATGAGAGGCTAACACGTGGTCTCCTTGCACCCCCAGGAATCTGCAGTCCCTACCAGAGGTTAAGGGGCCCTCTCCGCTACACTCCACGACTTTCGTTTTCTTTTTATTTCATGGATTGCTGCTGAGGTGGGGATCAGTGTACTTTGAAATGATCATAGTAATCCTCCTTTGTCCTCAAATATTTAAGAAGTACTTCCTACATAAACGACTATGTGCTGGGAGTTAGTATATTACACTGAAACTCAGTTTCCTCATGAATTCATATTAATACCTCACATTTTATTGCACTTAACCAAGTACTTTCTTACTTTTCAGTTAATTCTCACACTTTTGAAGATGATATAACTATCCCTGTCTTACAAATGAAGACACTGAGACTTAGAAAAGTGATGACAACTGGCGAGTGGCAGAGCCCCAGCTGAAGACCCTCTGTTCCCAGTAGCCACACTGCTGCTTCCTTGGGTTTGGGGCCGTGCACTTTGTCTTGGTGAAGTTTGACCCTGCTGACCCACTGCTGGGAATCCGTTTCTCTGATGCCCTTGGTGACCAATGGCTGGAAGATGGGTGTGGCTTATGGCCTCATCAGCGTCCTGGCTTCCCTAATTGAA